TTCTCCCAGAATTCTTTCCAATCCATACTAAAGAACAAAAAGCCATATGGAGGAAGTCTATTTAGTATATTGAATGTTCAATTTCCTCCAGTTACTATTTCAAATGACATTTAAATCCTTTAAATATTTCAGTAAAAATTAATTATAGAAAGGTCTAAAATATATCACTTATTCTGCAATAAGTGCATACATCAGCATCAAAAGCTTAGGTCATTATCCACTTCCGCAGAGAGGAAGTGTCAGCAGAAGGAACTTCAAACCACAGCTGACCAAAACACCTCTTCTCCAAATTGTACAGGCTTATATTCATCAATCATGTGCATTATCTGATTAAACTGCAGTAATTCAGATTTCCATATTAAAGAAAATCTTATACCTTATTATTCATGAAGGCTCTCAAACACTGTATAACTTTATGCTGACTCCTCTTCACAATTTTGTCCTGGCTGAATTGGTTAAAAAAAAAAAAAAATTCATTGCAATTAAATTCGGTTTAAGAATGCATATTAAGAAAAGCTGACAATTTTTATATAAAGTTGTTCTTACTGTTTTGCCTCAACTAGTCTTTCCAAAACATCCAACAACAGCCCCAGACCTTCCCGGCCAAAGTTTTCAACCCAGCTGGGGAGAGAGAAAAATACATTAAAATTGTTTTTTCAAAGAGTAATCACAACAATGAAAATTTTCAGTATAGATAAAAATCAGCAAAACTGATCATTTTAAAACCCCAAATTGCCTCTTTACACAACAGAAGATGCCGAGACATTCCATTCACTCCTTGACCTAATTATATTACCTTAAAATAAAGAAATAGACAAAAACGTAATACATTCATTAAATTAAGTAGGCTTATTTTAAAATGAACAATTATAATTTTTTTTGGCACACAGAACTGATTTTAACAATATTTTAAAACTTTGCCAAAAAAGAAAAGGAAAAAAAAAAATCTCTTATACACTGTAATAAGGTCTACTGGAAAGGTCAAAATCTAACAGTAAATGGTAGAGAAAGGGCAAATGCCTAAGGAATTGTAGAAATGGTTACCAGAGATATTAATCCACATTTCATACTACCTCCTCAAGAAAAGTTCTTGGAACTCTTCATTAGTGCCTTCAGCCAATAAGACAGAATGAACTCATAGTAAATACTTCTTTCACGCTCCTTTTCCTCCACTTTTAAATTAGTGTGATATCTTTGTCTATTAACTGATTGCAAAACCATCCCTACTTAAAACAGATATAGTTTACATGCATATCTTCATCAACAAACAGATTCTCTTCATCAACAAACAGATTCTCCTGTGGGTGTAGAACCAATAGTTTGCGTATTCTTTAAATTATTACTTTGAAACAATATAAGCTGAGGAAATCACTTGTCATGTATAACAAAATAAAGACCTTTATATAAAAAGGAAGTATCCGTTCTGCAATATTAACATCCTAAATAGGTTGATCAGAATTAGTCAAACTAAAATGTTTACTTACATGCACTATATTCTTTCCAGGATTTTGGTTTTTTTGTCTATTTATGCACCATTATACACTTTAGTGAAATTTATTTATTACCACCTTTGAAAAGTAACCAGAATATTTAGAGACTACTGTAATAGTGGGACCTCACTAGAAACAAATAATAAGCTATTCTTTTGGAAATAAAACAAAAGGGAGATGCAATAGCTCTTTTGAAATATATTACATTCTCAATCCTAATCAAAGGATGGGATTAAACTGTGCTTCATCTTTGCTAGATACAGAACTGTAATGGACTTAAAATTACAGGAGCCCATCTCTCATATGAGAAAGTCCTGGTTTAGAGAGATGGGACTGTTCAGCCTGGAGAAGACTGAGGGGTCTTATCAATGTGCATAAATATCTGAAGGGAGGGTGTAAAGAAGACGGGGACAGATTCTCTTCAGTGGTGCCAAGTGACAGGATGAGAGGCAAAGGGTACAAACTAACAGGAAGTTCTGTCTGAACATGAGGAAGGACAACTTTCCTGTGAGGGTGCCTGAGCACTGGACTAGGTTGCCCAGAGAGGTGGTGGAGTCTCCTTCCGTGGAGATATGCAAAAGCCATCTGGATGGGGTCCTGGAGAGCCTGCTCTGGGTGAGTAGGAGTGATTTACTAGATGATCTCCAGAGGTCTCTTCCAACCTCAGCCATTCTGTAATTCTGTGAAAATCACTCAATGAATATAAAGAAAAATTGAACTATCTAATTCAATCTTAAAATTAATTTGAGTATTTGGAGCTTTTATGTCTTTTTCCGATCATATTTCTGAATAAATTTATTTTAGATAGAATTATCCTTTATTGATTATACTAAAACAATACACATAGGTAAAATAGAAAATAATCAGTCAGACTTTTCATACTTTCTGTTTGCAGGGTGATCAATTTGGAAAAATATTTTTGACTTACTATATCATGACCTAATATCAAAATACCCAACCAAAGCAAGGAGGAATAAAAAAAAATACACAAAACAAAAACATATCCCATCTGCAGTGAGCTAAAAATATATGGTTCTGAAAGTCTGACTTTCACAAGCTTGCTATAGCTGGCCTAAGTTTATACTACCTACTGTCTCCAGGATGCTAAAATAGGGAGCAAAAATCGTACTAAATAGGAACTTATTAAATGAACATCATTCACCTTGCAAACTAAATGAAGTAGAATTCCCAGAGCAGAATGAGATAATATATTTAAAATTAATACTGAAGATGTGCAATGATTCTTGCAAAAATATCAAAGGCAGAGTTCCACTACTACTACAAATTTATATCCAGTCTGGGAAATGCAGATTCCAGAGCTCTGAAATTCTGGAAATTTGTTTTCTTGCAGTCTACAATTTCTTCCTATAGCCCCTTTCCAGCCCCTTTACAACTGGTGCTCCAACCTTTTCTCTCTCTCTTAGTCCCAACTGCAGACCGAGCCCTAGACAAAGCCCCCCCTGGGAGGGGGAGGGGGGGCAAACACAAAATTTCTCACAGTAAAGTTCTCCTTCCAGCCCCACTCCACTCTTGCCAATACAAAGTCTCCTTTTTAACCCTAAAGGCGATCAACATGATTTTGAATAGATGAGCAAAATGCATAAGTGGAAAATACATAACCATAGGTACATATGTGTGTGTATAAATATATATCTATATCTATCTATCTATATATATATATAAAAGTAAAAATCTGCACTATGCCAGTATCAACTTCTTCCAGATTAAACCAATATGAAGATAGTACACTTCAAAAAATAAATAAAATAGGTGAACACACAATATCTCCCACATTTCTAGCCAACACAACTTATTGAGAGGGAGGAAATGGGAAGCCTTCTGGACCCTAAAGTACTGTCTGAGGTTCCTAAGTACAAAAATCTGACTTCAACCATTGATAATGGAAAGCCATAGGCATTACAGACATTTAGATATGTTCACCAAGCCTCAAGAAGAAAGAGAGGAAAAAAGATAAAAAGGAACAAGAGAATCCAAAAATTCTTTGATGTTCATACATAACACCAAAAACTCAGTGTAATAAATCCACATACACATGCTGACTTAATAAGCTTTAACAAGATTAATGCAAATCTTGTTTTCAGGATCGTCCTTGCCCCAGCTATCACCTCACCTGGCAAATTACACCATGGCTATTTATTGCTACTGTTAGGAAAGTGAGCAGAAATTTAAAATTGAATTTGTCCTATTTCAGTTTCTAGTCACTGGTTCCTGCTACACCTATGACAGCAGAATTCAAAAATATCTTGCTATTAGATCTCTGGCCCAGGGCAAAGAAAGGGGGAGATACCTATGCACGGTAAAATAGGAAAAGAAAAAAAAAGTTCACTTTCTCTTTGTCAAATCAAAGTAATTGAATTTAACTAAATATGCTGGAGGACAGTTTTCTATCCCCTTCACCATCCACCCGATCTGCCTTTGACCTCAGTTGAGCTCTCTCAGATCTTTCTAGAGGGTATTCTAGAAGGCATTTCTGAAAACAGAGTATTTTGGGAATAATTTTAACAATACACAATACCTCATACTACACATTTATATCTAGCCTACTGAAAAGAGTTAGAAAGCAACTACAAATACAAAGCAGCAATCTAGAATAAAGAGGCATGAAATCAAGTAAGAGGGAGATGAAGCTTGAAAAATTAAACAAGTGGCAATTTTTCAAAAGAGAATCCCATAGGTACTGGCATGATTCAACAACAAACAATTCTCCATTTTTTAAAATTTCTTTATTGGTAGCTTTTCTGTGAGAAAGATTAAAACCAATAGCAGTCTTGCCTACTAGACATGGACTACTTAAAGATAAAATGGAGTAACGCAGTCATTCCTTCCAAATGTGATACCTTTTGCTGTTTTCCTAATATTCACAGAAAATAACAATTATAACCAATATTCAGTTCAACTTAATTATATGAAAAACAAAATTTACATTCTTAAAAATGATTTATAATGATCATTCAAATATACTATTGGTTTTGTCTTTCAGCCTTAAACTCCATCTCCCAACCAAGGTAGATTGAAAATTAAAAATGAGTTGAAAGATCTCGTTTCCTGGGTGCAGTTTTATGAAACTAGGAAATAAGCATCAGGGACAGTTTTTCTGCTGACTTAAACAAAAAATAAAACAAAAAAGCAGTCACCAGAAACTCTTGCTTTTTTATTATTAATTCTTATCTTGAAATTTTAGCAGATATCACCAAAAGCGAGATATTATTTTCTCATCTCAATATATAACTTATCCTTTTGAATTTTATTCTCACATTCCTAAGATTTGATCAACAGAAATCAATAAATTAGCCCTGTAGCACTCCAATATTTTTCAACACTGAATCTTTCTCAAGTTGAATTTTAAAAAGCATTGTAAACAACATTCCAAAGTTTGAACTTCGTTTGAAACAGTATCCCTTCCCCTATTTTATTCTAAAGACTTGTTCAAGACAGAAAAGTCTTATTTTTGCTTGAGGTAAAGACTATGAGTGCAAAAAGTTTGCTTACTTGCAGCTGAACTGAGTTATCCTGAAGACCTTCAACAATAGGAGAGAATCGATCAACATTCCTTTCCTCTGCTGCTGCTGTTACAGCTTCCAAAATTTTTTCAAGGCTATAAGAAAGTAAAAGGACTTTGCTCAGGAGAGATGTTTAATCTTGCTTTTCGTTTGTTATGTGAAGAGTCATGCTGCCGAAGCATTCCCTTCTTCATTTTCTTAGGTATAAACTTACGAGTTTCGTAGGCAAAGAATAACTGACTTGATAATAACGGTTAAGATACCTTAAATACTGCTAAAAAAAATTAATCACAAAGAATGGCTGCATAACTGCTTCCATCTAACTAGTATAGGAGCACATAAAAAAAAAATCTTATTAATACAACCATAATAAAAATTGGAGAATATGAGATGATTTTGAAAACTGACCATATCATAATAATACAGATATTAATTTCAAACTTAATTTGGAAATTTTAGCATTTCATTTAGATACAGGTATAATTTTGGATATCCTAAAATTATCTTACTATTTTTGGGAATATATAGTACTTACGTGCTTTCTTCTCCAACAATGCATATTGCAGACAGGAGTTTAACTATATCCGTCATCATGTTTGTTTGCCTGGGATCAATCGCTTTGGTCAGCAACAAAAGACTCCTCTCTTCTCCCAGAATTCTTTCCAATCCATACTAAAGAACAAAAAGCCATATGGAGGAAGTCTATTTAGTATATTGAATGTTCAATTTCCTCCAGTTACTATTTCAAATGACATTTAAATCCTTTAAATATTTCAGTAAAAATTAATTATAGAAAGGTCTAAAATATATCACTTATTCTGCAATAAGTGCATACATCAGCATCAAAAGCTTAGGTCATTATCCACTTCCGCAGAGAGGAAGTGTCAGCAGAAGGAACTTCAAACCACAGCTGACCAAAACACCTCTTCTCCAAATTGTACAGGCTTATATTCATCAATCATGTGCATTATCTGATTAAACTGCAGTAATTCAGATTTCCATATTAAAGAAAATCTTATACCTTATTATTCATGAAGGCTCTCAAACACTGTATAACTTTATGCTGACTCCTCTTCACAATTTTGTCCTGGCTGAATTGGTTAAAAAAAAAAAAAAATTCATTGCAATTAAATTCGGTTTAAGAATGCATATTAAGAAAAGCTGACAATTTTTATATAAAGTTGTTCTTACTGTTTTGCCTCAACTAGTCTTTCCAAAACATCCAACAACAGCCCCAGACCTTCCCGGCCAAAGTTTTCAACCCAGCTGGGGAGAGAGAAAAATACATTAAAATTGTTTTTTCAAAGAGTAATCACAACAATGAAAATTTTCAGTATAGATAAAAATCAGCAAAACTGATCATTTTAAAACCCCAAATTGCCTCTTTACACAACAGAAGATGCCGAGACATTCCATTCACTCCTTGACCTAATTATATTACCTTAAAATAAAGAAATAGACAAAAACGTAATACATTCATTAAATTAAGTAGGCTTATTTTAAAATGAACAATTATAATTTTTTTTGGCACACAGAACTGATTTTAACAATATTTTAAAACTTTGCCAAAAAGGAAAAGGAAAAAAAAATCTCTTATACACTGTAATAAGGTCTACTGGAAAGGTCAAAATCTAACAGTAAATGGTAGAGAAAGGGCAAATGCCTAAGGAATTGTAGAAATGGTTACCAGAGATATTAATCCACATTTCATACTACCTCCTCAAGAAAAGTTCTTGGAACTCTTCATTAGTGCCTTCAGCCAATAAGACAGAATGAACTCATAGTAAATACTTCTTTCACGCTCCTTTTCCTCCACTTTTAAATTAGTGTGATATCTTTGTCTATTAACTGATTGCAAAACCATCCCTACTTAAAACAGATATAGTTTACATGCATATCTTCATCAACAAACAGATTCTCTTCATCAACAAACAGATTCTCCTGTGGGTGTAGAACCAATAGTTTGCGTATTCTTTAAATTATTACTTTGAAACAATATAAGCTGAGGAAATCACTTGTCATGTATAACAAAATAAAGACCTTTATATAAAAAGGAAGTATCCGTTCTGCAATATTAACATCCTAAATAGGTTGATCAGAATTAGTCAAACTAAAATGTTTACTTACATGCACTATATTCTTTCCAGGATTTTGGTTTTTTTGTCTATTTATGCACCATTATACACTTTAGTGAAATTTATTTATTACCACCTTTGAAAAGTAACCAGAATATTTAGAGACTACTGTAATAGTGGGACCTCACTAGAAACAAATAATAAGCTATTCTTTTGGAAATAAAACAAAAGGGAGATGCAATAGCTCTTTTGAAATATATTACATTCTCAATCCTAATCAAAGGATGGGATTAAACTGTGCTTCATCTTTGCTAGATACAGAACTGTAATGGACTTAAAATTACAGGAAGAAAGAGACAGATCAAGTACTTTTATAAGTTTTTCCTGAGTAAACGCATATGGAAATAGATTTTCTCCTTCCTGAAGAGGTGTTTCAGTTTGAAATAGATTAGGCAAATAACTGTCAAATACTTTGGGTATAACTGCCCATATCTGATCTAAAGACGATCCTACTAGACCCTTCTTAGCACATTTTCTATTAAACAGGCTTGCACATAGCCATTTTACCCAGCTGAGGATGCTAAGAATCATTAAGTATTTAAAACAGTTCTGTCTTATTGCTCTCTTTTCCTCTGCTGCCACCACAGAGGAACAAAGATTACCTCCCCTATTCAGAGCGACGTTCAGCTTTTTTTTCAGTATCTGGCAAAACATCAAGAAAAACACTAATTTATTTATTTGAAGAACAGCAACTAAGATCGGTGCATTTTCCTTTTGAGATTTTCTTTTTATTAGTGATGCAAAAGAAATACTACTTTTTGCACTAAACCATAAATTTCAATAGACTTTTGTCAGTACCAGGATCAAACTACCCAGTATTACTTGATTCTGATCTTTTCTGCGAACTAAAAATGTTTTACAAAAAAAATTCAACTGAAAACAATTTTGTAGACCCTGTTATTTCATCAAAAACTGAAATGTCAAAAAGATTAAAGAGTTGATTAAAACATAACAATTAGAAGAATGTAAAAAAAATTGTAAAATTATATGTTGTCAATCCATAAATATAAAGTTTATCAAGCTAGACTGAGGTCTAAACTTAATTCATATGCTGCTGAAAAAGCATAAATTCATTCTTAAAGTATTATACATGCACAAAATAAAGTCTTAAGTTTACATCAGTTATTTTTCATTGTCCATATCATACAAAAGTTCCTTTAAACTGGAGCTTAAACCTATTGTGGATTTTTAGCAGTTGGACTGAAGTTCAGTGTGTATGTGTCAAAGCAAGTTATCACTCAAAATCATATGGCAGTTGATCATATGTCTCAAGGTCTCCAATACTTGTATCCAATGAACATCAATTGCTGTTAATTATTAGAAAGAAGGGGACATTTAGTTTAATAATGATTATGCCACAAATTTTTAGTACAAAGAGCAGTGCATTGCTGTTACATTTCTGATATTCCTGTAAACAAACCCCGGGAAAGAACTTTGCTTTTTTTAATACTATTTAAAATGTGCTGTTTTTTAAGCTTAGTGAGATCTAGCTTGCTGCCCAATATACTGGAAGACTGTTTCAGATTCTGAATGTTCTGCTGTTTGGGATCCTTCACTAAATATGTAGACTAAAATGAATTCATGGCCAAGTAGTAGAGATTTTTTGTGACACTGCTGCCCTACTTAAATGCCTCTTTCCTGGTATTTTTACAAGGCCTAATTGCTCTTTTTCAATTCAAATCTCTTACAAATTCAGAAGTCTTCTTAGGCTATACATCCATTAACTTATTAAGGAGTTTCACTCCACTCCATTATTTTAGTGCTTAAAAAATATTTGTGTATTCCTTCATGTTAACTTCATTTTCGTATAGAGAAATCATTCCTTCCTACTTAGATTTAAAAAGCTGACACTTCTAGAGTTGATCGCAATATAAACAAGAATTGAAACAACAGAAATATGTCTTATGATTGATTTCTGAAATCTCTAGTTTGGTAACTTCCTTTCAGGACTACCCAATGATGTATCTCAATTATCTTTTTAAGTCTTACAGTTCTTGCACATTTCCTGTCATATTTTGATTAATGTTTCAAATGGAATTTAGATTTCAATAAACTATGGTAAACTTAGGACTTAGAAATAATATTAGAAAATTGACAGGTGAGTCTACCACCCACTACAATTATATTTGACTGAACATAGATAAAATCATTATTACAATTCTAGAACTGTTTGCACCTAAGTTAAAAAAATTACTCTCAAAAATGTGATTGTAATATTTTGATTTCAACAGCTTTTCATACGTTTCTAGCATGCTGTGAATAGTAGACAAAGTTAACTATATTAGAAGAATAGGTATCACATAACATAATTTAGAGATAAAACGCACTAGGCTTACAGAAATAAAAACACTAGTTTTTCCCTTAGTCCATGCACAAAAGTAATTGCTCTTTTCCACTTACCCTTAATGCATACCTCCAAGCTTTCTAATCCTTTCCTTATGCAGAAAGTAAAATGCAAAAATGACAAAGCCTACTTTTCCTAAGTGTCATTATATTTAGTTGCTCTAAAACTTCTTCAAGTTTCTATACATCATTCCTCCAGATCATATTAATCACCAGACTTTCGTATTGATCAGATGCTCTATTACAACATCATAGTCCAATTCAACTTGCCTTTTGTAATAAAGTGTCTTAAGTATAGACCTACACTATTGTCTTGTAACTGGCCTCCCCATCCCTTATTTCCTTATCCCGACGTCGTTTCTCCATCTTCCCTACCCATTCAAGTTTTGTCAACATTGTTCCGCACTGCCAGACTTATACAGTATTATTACCTCATCCAGATTGTTTTTTTTTTTTGGGGGGGAATAAACAAACAATAATAAAAAAAAATTTAGTGGGAAGGAGAGGCAGAGGAAGAATGGAAAGGAAAAGAAAAGAAAGGGAATCACACACAAAACCCTGAAGTTATCCAGTCATATCAGAAATAGATAGAGGTGAGAATATGTTAAATTTACATTGTCATATATTTTATATATTTGGTATTTCTATCCCAATGCTGTTAACAAGCAAAGGATTTTTTTTTTTTTGGTAAAATCAATACAAGTTTAAGATCTCTAGTTTTTTATTTCGTTTTGAAATAAAGAATGGAAAATAATGCTATATCCAAAAAACAGTTTTGTACCCATGGAATGCGTGTAATAACTTCTAAGATTCCCTGTCAGAAGTACTCAGGTTAATGCTAAGTAAGTTTCTTCCCATGAGACCCATTACATATAATATACACATTATAAGACATATAATAAGACAATCCAACATAAAAACACATTAATAGAAGGCAAGCACTCTTACAAAAGACCCATATCAACAATTCCTCAAAGCCAGATGCAGAAAGAAGAATATCAGCTAATTAATAGCAGTTAATCTGCATTACTTTGCACTAAAAAAAAAGTTTCAGAAAATCTTGTTTTAACCAAGTGGATGAAATAGGAACCCTAAAACAAAAAGCTATAAGGTTAATAAAACAGAGTAGAATAGAATAAAATAAAGCCAACTTCCATAATTAAACTCAGACGGATGAAGCCTAAATTAAACCGAAAGATTGACTTCAGTTTCAGAGTTATGATTACAAACAGGAAGGAACACAGGTAAACTAATAACGTGTGTCCTGCACAGCAATCCCACCGATTCAATAGAAATTACTAGCAGGCAGTGAGCAAGATACCTAGAGCATGGTGGACAGAAGGAGGGGCATGTGTTAAAATACACACGCACAAATCACTCTTATTGTTGAACTTGTCTCCCATCCTACTGATCACCCTGATAGAGTAAGTTGCATATAAACCCTCTTCCCTAAGAAAACAAAACAAAAAGCAGACAAACACCATGTACTTTTGATTGCTTAGCACAACAAAACAGATTGAACTGGTCTTGATTTATACTTGTTTCACGTTCTCTTACAACTACCTTGACTGAGTAGGTGAAATCTACTTAAAAATAGATCTAGAGAAGGTAAACAATCAATGTAAAAAAAAAAAAAAATTACATTCATTAATACATACAAATTCATTGACTGGAAAAATCTTAAAACACTTACATGTACAAATCCATTAGTTAAATCCCTGAAGAACTAAGAATACGGTTAGTCTTTGTAGTATGTGTCAATAATTCTGTATTACCTGACAGGATTACTAGTCAAGGACACACGAAGAGATTCTAAGCAAGCGACCAGTCTTTCATCTGTTGATCCAGATTTTAATTCCTGAATAAACTCTTGGGGTGAAATCTTCTGACTATTCTTGAGGCTTCCCTGAAACACAGAAAATACATGCATTTTTCTTTTGGTATATATAGGATTCAAACAGATACGTGGCTAACCTTCACTTAAGTATTTGTTTTTCAACTACTATGCATATATGGTGCACTCTGACTAAATTTTTGCCAATTTATAATCCAGTTGGTGGTCAAAAGCAGCATTCAACAAGCAAAAATGCATTAGACACACTTACTGAAATACAGCATTTTTAATTAATGTATTCCGTCTCAGCATTACAAATATCTTAATTTCCAATACTCAACAGGAAAAAAGGGTCCCTACATCCATATTAGAATATGGATAGAAGAACCAGATCTCCAGAAGAGTACTCACAATATCACTGCAGTAACTTTAGTTCTCCCAGGTAGTGCTGTAAAATGTTTTTCCCTTAAAGATTGCAACAGACTAAGACTAAATTATACTGTGATTATAATAGAATAGCTTTAGTTCTACGGGTTAGAGCAAAGAACCTCAAAAACACGGACTTCTTTAGAACTACTGAAGCTCTTTCAAGGAAATAAACTCCAGCCCCTTATTTGATATATTTTCCATCCACAACAATGTAGCACAACACAAACAGTACTGATGCAATAATATCACAGAATCACAAAATGATTGAGGTTGGAAGGGACCTCTGGAGAAGATCTAGCTCAAGCTCCCTGCTCAAGCAGGGTCACCTACAGCAGGTTGCCCAGGATCACGTCCAGGCAGGTTTTGAATATCTCCAGCGAAGGAGACTCCACAACCTCTCGAGGCAACCTGGTCCAATGCTCTGTCACCCTCACAGTGAAAAAGTTTTTCCTCAGGTTCAGATGGAACTGCCTGTGTTTCACTTTCTGCCTGTTGCCTCTTGTCCTGTTGCTGGGCACCACGGAGAAGAGACTGGCCCAATCCTCTCGACAGCCCCCCAGATACTTCTACACATTGATGAAATCGCCTCTCAATCTTCTCTTCTCCAGGCTCAACAGGCCCAGCTCTTGCAGTCTTTCTTCATAGGAGAGGTAACTCCAGTTCCCTCATCATCTTCGTAGCCTCCAGTAGCGCCATGTCTCTCTTGTCCTGGGGAGCCCAGAATTGGACACAGGACTCCAGGTGAGGCCTCCCCAGGGCTGAGGAGAGGGGCAGGATCACCTCCCTCCACCTGCTGGCAACACTCTGCCTCATGCATGCCCAGGATACCCTCGGCCTTCTTGGCCACAAGGGCACACTGCTGCCTCATGCTCAACTTGTTGTCCACCAGCACTCCCAGGGCCTTCTCGGCAGAGCTACTTTCCAGCAGGTCAGCCCCCAGCCTGTCCTGCTGCATGGGGTTATTTCTCCCCAGGGGCAGGACCCTGCACTTGCCTTGGTGGAACTTCAGGAGGTTCCTCTCCACCCAGCTCTCCAGCCTGTCCACGTCCCTCTGAATGGCAGCACAGCCCTCTGGTGTGTCAGCCACCCCTCTCAGTTTAGTATCATCAGTAAACTTGCTGAGGGTGCAAGTTTGAGGTGCAAGGGTGAGGGCACTCTGTGCCTTCAACCAGATCATTGATGAATACGTTGAACAAGACTGGACCCAGTACTGACCCCAGGGGACACCGCTAACTACAGACCTCCAACTACTCTGTACTACTCATCATAACCCTCTGAGCTCCGCCATTCAGGCGGTTCTCAGTCCATCCAACCCACACTTCCTGAGTTTACCTAGGAGGATGTGATGGGAGACATATAAGGACATTTTTTAAGAGCAAAAGCTTATTCAACTTTTGCTTTTGCCTTTTTTTTTTGAGGGGGGAGGGGAGCATGGAAAACAGGGAAATAGAAGCAAAAATGTAATGACAAGTTAATGCAGCACAGCACAAGCAGCTTTGTGCAAATAAGATGTTTTCTGTTCCACAAACTACTGGATGAAAGACACTGACTTCAAACTCATTTGTATCTCTGGTGTCAAACATTGCCTAAAAGAAAGTTCAAGATATTAAAACCTTCTTCAGTTAACATTCCATAGTAATTTGGAAAACACAGAATATCTAATTGTTTAAACAAAACAATGATTATACTGAACTAATGAAGCCCTACAATTTGCAATTAAACCTGTAAATGTAAAAGACACTGTTCTTAAAAGTATCCCTTTTTTAAGGCATGGTACCAAAGACAGAATTCTTATTATAGTAAGAAATCAGAAACAGAGGAAAGCAAGTCTACTTTACCTTACATCCATCTGTAACACGAGAAAGAACATAAATATTCTCAATAGAAGATGCATAAATTCCAGAATAGAGGCATACAATGGGGTAAAAAAACCTATATTTGGCCTGATCCTTTTCTGGGAGCAGTGACATAACTATTGTAACAGCTCCTAGCTTGTGCCCAGGCAACTAACTGACTCGAGCCATGCTGTCGGAAGCAAAGGGTCAGATCTGAAGCTGCGAGGGTTAAACAGTAAGGTTTGCCCAGCCATGCCTAAGGGTGAGCCAGGCAGGAGCTGTTGGTGAATGCTTCTGAAACAATTGGACATTCTTGCTCATAGCAGCTCAGGAACTGCAAAACCTATGGTATGCATGGGATAGGAATGCATGACTCTGCAATTCTTCCAGGAGAAGGAGATAATACAGTCTCCTTCTATAGGCAACTTCCAGTAAGTAAAAAGACCTAGGAAAAGCTGCTGTTAGATCTTGATGAACCTGCTCTGGGTTGGATTTCCACAGTAACCGCACTCTAACTTCCCTCCTGTTTTGAGGAACAGCAGCCATGGATCACACCCCAGACTCAGCCCAGGAGGAACAGCAATCTTATTCTCTGCTGGTACTGCCCTAAAGAGCTGCTCTCTGTTAACATATGTACATCTAAACAGATTCAAAAAGAATCAATGTTTTTCATATAAATAGGGGTCTGCACATAGTAAAATGGAGAAAGAGAGAGTAGAAGAAAGGAAGGAAGGAAAGCTGGCAGGTCAAAAAACTGACACCAGGGATCTTTCACTCACTAACCACTACATTTAAGGACAGGTATCTCCTTACTTGACTCATTTTAGGAAATGAAGAGCTCTTGCTCTCTTTCTGTAATGCTCTCAGAGACTTTATCCTTAGTCAGTCATCCTTAACATACATTTCTCTAAATGGTAACTGGATAAACTTCTGGATTCCAGGAGATCCCATTGTCAGAGGAATTCCTGGGGATATAGCCCCTATTTAATTAAACTGAGAGCTGACAAATTAACAAAGGACTGACTGAGGATATAATTCTTAGTTCATAGTAGAAATCCTGTATTATCAGCAACTACCTATATGTAGGCCTGGACATTTCTGTATTTGATTTCTGTGGAATAAGACAGTGGATTTATGAATACTGTGAACCGTGTGTGACTCTCACTGGGAATTTAGACCTCAGCCTGCACGCTCACTACCCTCAAGCTTAAGAGATGGCAAGTGTGTAGGCATCATTTGAACTAATTTCCCCCATTCAGTTTCATTTTTGACACTATGAGTGTGCACATGACTCTTACTAATGTGCCAAAGTGCTACACAAAACTATTCTATGATACAGCATTAAAGAGAGTTCCTTAAAAATAAGGAAATATTTGTTTCTCTACTAGCTTAAGTCAGCAGTTGAACAGAATTTGACTTGCACTGCATTAACAATTTCCAATTATAATCTACTGGTCAGTGGGTAGGCAGTCTCATTATGTCATTATATATAGCTTATAAAGTATCTTTTTTACCCATTTTGGAAAAAAGATCATCAAAAAGTATAGAACACTACACTTTCCTCCTTCTACAGCAGAACGGAGTAGCTTCTGGGAGAAAAGTGAAGTTTAAAAAAAAAAAAAACATTGGGAAGAATAATTGACACACTAGATGGTCATACCACCATTCTGAGAGATGTTGACAGGCTGCAGAAACAGGTTGTGAGGAATACTGGGAAGTTCAAAGGGAAGTGCAAAGTCCTGCACTTGGCAGGGAATAAGCCCATGCACCAGGACAGGTGGGAGGCTGACTAGCTGTAGGCAGCTTTGCAGAGAAGCATCCAGGACCCTTTTGGACAAGAGGAACATGAGCCAGCAGCATCTTCTTGCGCCACAGGCAAAAAGAAATGTCATGTTTGCAATTTTTTTTTTTTTTTTTAAAAAAGGTTCTATAGATAGTTCATACACACACAATACTTAAGTGAGAATTAGCACTACAGAGGTGGAACTCACTTTAGCCTCTTCAAATACTATGTAGGTCCAAGAGGTAGCAGCATGTATTTAATAGGGACAGGATGACACCTCCTCTAAAAGTATCTAGTGCGCAACTTATTCCATAAATAGGTTTTGTAACATAGTCCAAGCCATGAATCTAAAACTAAGGTGTTTACAAAGTCATCCTCCTCACAAAGACTGAAGCTGCTTCCATCAGACGAGGAAGCTTAGCTCCCCTACAGTTTGCAGACAATTATAATCTAAAGAGAAATAATAAAAAAATAAAAATAAAATGGATTCTCCAGACCACAAGTGAGAGGAAAAGATCTTAAAAAAAGTACTCAGAACACTAAGAACTACATAATGATGATTGGATAAAATCTGAAAGCTAAATGCTACTACACCATAAATCGCACAGAATTGCATAAATTGCTCCAAATTAACTGGCAAAGGAAAATCAGTGACAAGGGTTGCTCCCTGGTCATTAAACAGCTTGTACACAGCACATAAGCAATATACACCTCCTTTTACAATAATCACTGGACTTGTTAAGATTAAGTGTTTACATGCTTAAAAAACAAAAAAGTCTGAGGCAGAGTCTATGGAATTTGAGTTATGGTTGTGTTATAAGGAAAAAATTCAAGTCACAACTGTGGTGTAGCAGGATGTCAGGATTGTGCCTGTAGCACATTCAGCGCACCTAGCTGGCAACTCCCTAGGTGATCCAGGAGCTCCCCAGCTCATCTCTGCATGGGTGAGACAACGGACTGACTTGAGACAAGACTAGCTGTCTTCACAATGCAGTATTTGACTAATTGTTACAGGAGCTCGGCGG